GTGTGCTGCCACACCCAGCTAATTTTTGAATTTTTAGTAGAGACGATGTTTCACCATGTTGGCCAGGCTGGTCAGCCTCCTGAAGTGCTGAGATTATAGGTGTGAGCCACTGCACTCGGCCTTGAAGGAACTACTTGTTAAGTCTCTACTTTTAGTAGGTCTGAGGAAAGTGTTAACTTCTTATGGAAGTGGCCACAGATCTTGTCTGTTTAGGAGACGCCACTTTCACTATTCAGGAGCCGTTCACACATGTTAAAAAAAATTGTGTGATGAGGAGAGAGGAGGAAGAGTGGCTTTTATGCCACCAGACCCCCACTCTTTTTATTATCACAGGTGCAAAGTGTCCCCACCTCCTGCCCAATGGGAGACACCACTAGATCTGGTGGTCTGATGAGATCTCCTCTGATGCTCAGCTTGTGTGCTCATCAGCACCTGCCAGGGAACTCCACAGCTGTACAGATGAGTTCCAGGCCCACTTCCCCAGAGCAGGCTGGCTCCCTGTGGTCTCTCTCTCCTCACAGCAGGCTTCCAGGGCCTTTTCTCTTGGTAATTGTCAGTTCCTGAAGATAAGCACGTAGGCCCTTTTTACTTTTAGACTTTACTGTTAAACAAAAAATAGCAGCATTAGGAAATCACAAGTCTCAGACCCACTTCCCATTCTGGAAGCCCCTCGGGATGTAGTTTTTAATTCCTTGTGTTGGGCCTTCTTTTCTTACTGACTTCTTCCCCCTTCTCCCATTAAAGGAAAAATTCGCTCTCAAGGAAACCTCATTCCCAGCACGTAGGCCTGAAGATGCAGGGTATGGCGAATGGTTCATACTTTTTTGTTTCAGCCTGGGCGCTCACATCTGTGGGGGATGTCCTCAGGTTATTAGCTCTGAGACATTTGGGAGGCATTTCCTCAAAGCTTTCATTTTCTTTAGCAATCCAAATAACATCTCATCCAGTGTGAAGTGTTCATTGAGCCTTCCTTCCCCTAAATTCAGCATAAGTCATAACCATTCTAGACTGTGACAGTGTATAATTTGCCCAAATGTGAATTCACTATTAGTTTGATTGGTAAAAATTGCTTGATTAGTAAAGAATGATGGTAAATTGGCCTGGCTCCTGGGATTCTCTGGCAAAGTCCATGCTGGCTTGAGTTCTCTGTAAGTTGACTTTAGATGACATCTTTCACGTTTGGAAAACTATTCCGGACATGAAATAAGAAACTGTGAGTCACACAATCAACATAATACTAGGCTTGGGCCATGGCTGCTTTTAGAGTATTGTGTTTTAGTGCTCATTTAATTACCTGTTTGCTATAAAAGTTGGCAGTCCTGACTTTCCTCTTCAATGTAAACAAAATAATATTGTCTAATTCCTTTGCTACTTATTGCCATCATAGCAGAAACTCTTAAATTTTATTTTAAAAACAGAGTTAGATTTTCCTCGTAATAGATCTAAAAGAGGTGAAATTGAATGTTCCTTTTGCAAGCAAACAAGCTTCTGTCACTACTAGTAAGAAAAATATTATAACTAAAGAAGAATCTAAAGAGAGGTCTTTTTATCAGTCATGACACTTGGGTGCGTTGACAGCCTAGAGTCTAGATGTCAGCTTTGGCAGTCTGGAAATTTGGTATCTTCAGGTTACTGACTGCTGAGTGAACTCAGGGGTATTGACTGCTATTAACTGGTCAGTATATTCTCTGGACTGCAGCAGAGTCTATATGGGAAATCAAATGACAATCCAAAGTTTGCTTGGTGAGCATGATGTCACAGCCAAAGGAAGTTGGATGGTCTGAGTGGCATGTGTCACAGCCCTAGGGGCAGAATGTCCTCCTCTCCACTCCAGAGACAGTGTTGTAGAGCAGAGCTGATTGCTTGTCCTCTTGGCTTGCCTAGTGATGGAAACTGAGCATGAATAGCCTCTCTTGTTAAAATAGAACACAAAACCCTCTAAGGTTTGAGCATGTGAGAGCTCTGGAAGACGCAACTGTGCATGCAGTTACCAACTTGTCCTCCTGGATTTTCCCTCTCCTGCCAGTTCCTTCTCTTTGCCTTTGGGTATTCATCACCATCTTCAGCCCCAGGATATATTGTACCCTCTAAGAAACTGGTCAAAGGGAAGCATCAGACCTCTTGCTATGGTTCTCAGTACAGCTGAGATAGGCTGCAACAACCAATGAGTGTCTTATTAAAATTAATAGAAAGCTGAAGGATACAAACATGTACCAAAACTGTAAAAAGTTGATGGTTGATGGAGAATAAATTTCTGTACTGGAGCTCGCAGCAAAAGGTTGGGAAATCTAAGCCAAGCAATTAGTTATGACCAAGTTAAACAATGACTTCATTTTCTAAAGTGATGCCTTTTCAAAGAGTACTGCCCTTTTGAAAGCATCTTTACCTCTGCCAGGCAGCTACAACTGAATAGCTTGCATGTCCTTTATTAGCCTGCTTTACTTTTGCAGATGGCTCATCTCATTTTTAACAGATTCTTACACAGCTCATTCTTAGGGTTGCACCATTTCTCACATTGTCCTCAAATTCTGAGAAGAGTCATAAGAATGCCTTCTTTTTCTGGCTTGTTTAGGCTATCTTTATGAAGGCATTTAAAGATATTCAATATTGTTTACAATCAATAGCAGCATTTTTTTTTCTTTTGATACAGGGTCTTGCTCTTTCACCCAGGCTGGAGTGCAGTGGCCCATCATAGCTAACTGTAACCTTGAATTCCTGGGTTCAAGCGATCCTCCTGCCTCAGCCTCTTGAGTAGCTAGGACTACAGGCACACACTACCACACCTGGCTAAATTATTTTATTTTTGCAGAAACAGGGTCTTGCTATTTTGCCCGGACTTGTCTTGAACTACTGGCTTCAAGTGATTGTCCCACCTTGGCCTCCCAAATCACTGGGATTACAGACCTGACCTGACCCAGCAATTGTTTTTTGTTTTTGTTTTTATTTCTGAGGCAGGGTCTCACTGTTACCCAGGCTGGAGTGCAGTGGTGTGATAATGGCTCATTGCAGCCTTGACTTCCCTGGCCTCAGGTGATCCTCCCACCTCAGCCCCCTGAGTAGCTGGGACTACAGGTGTGTGCCATCATGCCCAGCTAATTTTTGTAGCTTTTTTTTTTTTTTGTAGAGATGGGGTTTCACCATGTTGTCCAGGCTCAGCCACTGTTTTTCAAGTTCAAATGGTTTCATTTTCGGCCAATAGGAAGGAGCCTATTTATGTGAGTCTTGTGTCCTTTTGACTTGACCCCATTAATTGTGAAACATTTCCTGTCTTTTTGAGGTCATCAAAATGTTTCAGGGTCATCTTGTACTTTTTCTGACCCAAACCTGGAATCAGTCACTCCTCAAAGGAGCCTTAGTTCCTTTGAGTGGGAAATGGTTTTTAGAGACCATAACCTGGGTGCTGGGAGTGTTCATTGCTGCTGAGTTGTCCTTACTTCTAAACCTAGTCAATGGCTGTATATATATATTTTTGAAAAGAAAAAAAAAATGAGTTCATACTAGTGTTTCCCATGTAAATATATTATTGTAATATTTTAAAGAAAACTTAATTACTTTGGTTGTACACTTATATTTTCTGTTACACTGAAAACATCTTGGCTCCATTTGATATTAGCATAATTATTTATTTGCTTTATCCTGTAGTTGATTTAAGAATTTAAGAAATATGAATATTATTAAGAATACTACTGAATGAAATGTAAAATTTCTTTGCAGTTTTATTTGCTCTGGGAATATGTACCACTGTTGATGTAGTCATAGTAGTGTATTCTATGTCAACTTAAGAGAGAGAATTATTTTTTTCTGTGTTCTTATGCTATCAGTGGGATAGTCCATTAGATTGATTTGTTTCCATTAATTTTCAATTATTAGAGTTTTCTTTTACAATTTAAAAATACTTTATTCATTTATAGTCAGGGACTAGGTCTGTTGCTCAGGCTAGAATGCAGGGGTGCAATCATAGCTCACTGCAGCTTTGAACTCCTGGTTTCAAGCCATCCTCCTGCCTTGATCTCCCAAAGTGCTAGGATTACAGGTGTGAGCCACTGTAACTGGACTATTTTATGTATTTTCAAAATTTATTTTTATTTTTATGTTTTTTTAAGACATGGGGGTCTCACTGTGTTGCCCAAGCTGGCCTTAAACTCTTGGGCCTAAGCAATTTTCCCACCTCAGCCTGCCAAGTAGCTGGGACTATAGGCATGCTGCTCCATCATCCTGGGTTTTTTAAAAAAAATTTAATTTGTTAATATTATGTTATTCCAGAGCCAAAACTGCAGAAGGCACATCAAGAGAGGACTCAGTTTTCCGTTCTTGTCTCCTCCACGATGTTCCTTCTCCCATACAAGTTTCTAATTTGTTTTTTGGTTTATCCATCTAATGTTTCTTTTTATAAATATTAGCAAACACAAATACTTTTATATCTTCCCCCCACACCCTTTCTTTCATCCATTTTAATGGTAAATATTCCATTGGTGAATATTACTGTTTGAGAATGACTTTTTTTTTTTTTTAAACCATAATGATGGGCAGTAGTTCAGAACTACTGAAGTCTGGCTGGAGAGATGAGGAACTATTACTTTTTAATACTGCTTGAAATGGGAACACTTTTTTCTGGAAGCCCATTTTTCTAAAAGAAACAATCATGTTTTTTCTTCATTTTCTCCGCGCCTCTAATCTGACAGGAAATAATTCAACGCATTTCGAGCTGAAGCATGTGCCTCGCTGCCTGTGGTTGGGTCACCGTCCCTTCTGAGGCTGCTCGGAGGAGGGAGAGGACACTTGCCTTCGCAGGTGTTCTGCCCCTGAGACTGACGCTCCTTGGTGCTCTCTCTGTTCCCTCCCAGATCTTGGGAGAAGCGCGGACATCTCTGTTTCTGCTTTTGGTCCCCGAATGCAGTTGCTCGCCCACCGGCCCCCTGTTTCTGGCGCTCCTGGGCGCGGGGGAGCTGGGGCCGCCCCGCCTGCGCACGGCGGTGCCGGGATTGGGGGCGGGCGCGCCGCCTCCGTCTCCCGCGTGCTCGCTCTTTCGCTCACTGGCTCCCGCCCTCCCCGCCTTGAGCGATCTCCTGCCTCAGCCTTGCAGGCTCCGCACTGCAGATGCCGGCGGCTTCCCTGTGCTCGGCGGCTCCCGCGGTGCCCCGCAAGTCCCCGTGACCCTCCAGCATCGGCTGTGCGCTCCCTGCTCCCAAGGGCCGGTCAGCCGCGGACACTCACCCAGCTCCGCGAGCGCAGCCGCTCAGCCGGTGAGGCAGCAGGGACCGAGACGGACGGTGGCCGCGCCAGAGCCTGGGGCGCTCCCGGATGCGGCAGGACAAGCTGACCGGGTCTCTGAGGCGCGGGGGGAGATGCCTGAAGCGGCAGGGCGGCGGCGTGGGCACCATACTGAGCAATGTGCTCAAGAAGCGCAGCTGCATTTCCCGAACCGCGCCCCGGCTGCTCTGCACCCTGGAGCCGGGTGAGGACCCAGGGCTGCAGATGGGGCGCTGGAAAGTAGCGCTGGGGCTGCCCGCGCTTCTGTCTTAGCCTGACTCCGTCTAGGCCGGGGAGCACCAGGGAGAGTCCGCTTGCCACCCGGTGCTGGGCACTGCGTTGGCACCTGCAGGGCGCAATCGGTCTGGAAGGGCAGAGGGCAGATGGGGGCCTGGGCGGGGCAGCGGCCTCCCCAGGCACGGAGAACCTTCTTTTTCCACCCACTGCCCGCGGACCCCCACCCTGCGGCCTATGCGCTCGGCCTTCTCCGCGTGGCAGGGAAGTGCGGGTGGCTGCCCGGGCCATCAGAGGCCGCACCACCTATTGTGTTCCAGGCTCGCAGGAAGCCAGACCTTGAGAGAGGTGGGGGCGGAGAGAGGCACAGGTTTGACACTGGAGGTCGGAAGGGGAAGGCAGTGACTGCAAAGGCAAAATTGGGTGTTATTTTCCCAAGCGTCCCTTCAGCGTGAGTGCCGGGGTCAGCTTGAACTGGAGCCTGTAATTTGTGAGTGTGGGTGGGGAGCAGCAGGAGATCCTTTTCATAGGTGAGGTCCGGGAACGAGCCTGGCCGTGCTAGGCAAGGCCCTTCCTGCCGTCAGCCTGTGTTTACCCATCCCTGCTTCTCCAGGCTGCATAACTCCGCGTCTGCTCTATCGCCAGGCATCCCTCCCCGGGATTTTAAGATCCCAGCCCTAGCGCGGGCTCCTGGGCACGGAGGTTTCTGGCAAGGAGTGGCCGCAGAGAGAGTTGGCTGTACTCTCACTGGTGCTTGGCGCTCACCTGTTCCCTGGAGTGGCACCAGCTGGGCTCCAGGCGGGTTGGCGGTCTCTGGTCCCCACCCCCCAGCGCCTTGGGGACCTGCTGTAGTGCCGCAGGAGAATCGAGGCGCCGAGTCCCAAAGGGTGGGATGCGGCTCTGCCTTTCCCAACCTCGTGGTTTCTTTGTTTTTCTCCCCTAGGAAGTGTCTAGTTGCAGAGGCTGTAGTCTTTCTTCACCATCTTCCTTTACCTCTTTTTTTTTTTTTTTTTTTAAATCTCCTTCCCACGTTAAAAGTAAACGTTTTGTGTTTCTGAATCCGGAATAGCCGTGATTATCAGATGAAACATAAACCTTTTCTCTGCCCGTATTCTGTTAGAAGAAAAGGGGGGTGAAAGTGACCTGGTTTAAGCTTTTGCATGCAGGCGGCGAATCAATTTCAGTTAAATCCTCTTGCTCATTTTTGATCATGAGAGGATAGTTGTGGTTTTGGCCAACTAACCCCTACTGGGTTTCACTATGGGAAGGCAATCGGCCTGATGCCCAGCAGGTGCCCCGGAAAAGTTAGAAGAGCACATTGGTCAGACATACAGGGAATCCTTGTAGTGCGGCAAGAATGTCAGCGCGGGACCAAATTTCCTGGTCTTTGTTATCAAGCAAACGTCATGAATATAGGCTCCTCCATTCAGCACCTCGCGTCTGGACAGCAACCTCACTTCTAGGTCTTGTTTCAACGTGCCTTAAAGTGTGCGCTGGGCTGGAAACACTCCTGTGGCCATTGTATCACCGTTCTACGTTTGGGCAGGACTTCGTTTAAACCACCTCAGAGAGAGGCGGATCCATGGGGTACTTAATATTCCTTCGGAGAAAAAAAAACTTACCTGTCCAGGCAGAGTATGGTTATGGCCCTGAAGCTTTAAAAAGAAATATCAAGGCATAGATTGGATGCCTGGGATTCTCTGTCACAGCTTACTTTGGAAACCTAGGACCCGACTCATGCATTTACAGTGCTCTTCCAGGGTTCCAAGAAGAATACCTACATACTGTCATGGGCTTGCAAAAATCAGCTACATCTCTTTCCAGCTTCTTGACTTCACATATACATATTTTTTAAAAGACCAGTCTGCTTGCTTACTTACTATTATTTCATAAATTCCAAAGATTGTTCCTATTCATACCAACCTCTAAGAAGTGGAAGTTGTGGAGAAGTTTTCAGTACACCTAATCTGCTATCAACAGTCTTAGAAACAAAAATGCCATCATTTGATTTTTGCAATTTGTAAAATTTAACGTTATTGATAATATTTGGCATTTCTTGGTCCTTGAACTTTTGAGCAATAATTCCTTTAAAAAGTGGGGCTGGATGCAGTGGCTCATGCCTGTAATCCTAGCACTTTAGGAGGCTGAGGCAGGTGGATCGCTTGAGGTCAGGAGTTTCAGACCACCCTGACCAACATGACGAACCCCTCTTCTACAAAAAATACAAAAATAAGCTGTGCGGGGTGGCACGTGCGTATAATCCCAGCTATTTGGGAGGCTGAGATGGGAGGATTGCTTGAGCCTAGGAGTCCAAGGCTGCATTGTGCTATGACTGTGCCTGTGAATAGCCACTATACTTCAGCCTGGGTGATATATTGAGACTCTGTCTCTTAAAAAGAAGAAAAGGAATTGAGATTGAGATAGGTTAGATAAATTGTTTCAGTCTAGGAACCAAGTCGAATGGAGGACTGTGTGACTCCAAGCTTGCGGTAACATTTTTTTGTTTTTGTTTTTGTGGTACTCCAGGCATCTATGTAAACCACCATCATGTGTAGTAAGGCACATTCTATTGCTGTAGGTATTTTCCTATTTTAAGAATCAATATGCTTACCTTTTAGCAAAATTGACTAAAATTTAGTAAAGATACATACTTTAAAAAAATTTGTGATGATTCAGCAGAATCAAGCTTTTACTTGTATTTTTGATATAACTTGTTATAGTCTCCAAAAATAACATCTATTATGTATTTCTCTTTCAGGAGTTGATACCAAGTTGAAATTCACTCTTGAGCCATCTTTAGGTCAAAATGGTTTTCAGCAGGTAACTTTGGTTTTGAAAAGACTCTTCTTTTGGGGGTACCAACAGGGCAGGCACATTGAGATATATTCTCAAAGTGGAAATAATGTGTTCTTTGAAATGAATATGAAGACTAGTCACTTCAAAAATATTTCGGGTAAAGTAGCCTTTGAGCTACAAGTGACCTGGGTTTATATTTGCAATGACAAATTTTGCACTTTCTATTAATGGTACATGTGTGAAAAAAATTTAGAGTGAATAAATTTCACACCTGTACCATAATGTCTATTATTCTGAACCCCATAACATATATTTTGGCTTATTAACCAGAGCTTCCCAGCCATTTTGTGTGTACTGCAAAGGGGTCACAGATGTGTTAAGGGTGCCCAAGGGATGGGATGTGGCACAGTAATAGCCATGGACTGATCAATTCTGTCTGAAAGAAGCTTTGACTGTTTACCCCATTGTGCTGTGCAAATTTCAATGCATTCTGTGAATGTCAAGATGGGAAAAAGATTGTAAAGTGCTTATCTAGGTCACTGTGATCACCTCCTGGGATTTCTTCTTTGTTCCTAGTGGTACGATGCTCTCAAGGCAGTTGCCAGGCTATCCACAGGAATACCAAAGGAATGGAGGAGAAAGGTAAGGGGGACTCATAGGGCTAGAATACAGAAGGATCATCTCTGCCCTTCTTTAAAGCCTCTGGAATGTCAAAAATATATTCTAGGTTTAGTTACTTGAAAACCTGTCTTGATTATTCATTCATGCAGTAAATAATTATTGATTATTCTGTGCCAAGTAATGTTCTAGGTACTAGGGATAGAGCAGTGGAAAAAAACAGACCAAAGTTTTTTGTCCTCATGGAGCTTACAATGAATAAAATATAAAGTATGTCAGATGGTAATAAGTGCCATGGATAAAAATGTAGAGAGAAATAAAGAGCGTTTAGGAGAAAAGGGGTAAGGAGGTGGAATTTTAAATCGCAAGGTGACATTTGAATAGGCCCCTGAAGGAGGTGAGAAGCCAGCCATGCAACTACCTGGGAGGAGATACTCCAGGCAGAGGGAACAGCCAACGCAAGCACCCTCAGCCCTTAGGTGGGAGCATCTCGCATCTGGGTTGTATTCAAGCAAAGATGGGATGGGGCGGGGTGGGGCGGGGCTGGGGCACAGTGAACAAAGGGGGAAGAAATAGGAGAGGGAGTCATAGAGGTAATGTGGTGGGTTGAGGGGGTGGCAGATCATGGAGAATCTGGGAGGCTACCACAGGTCTTGGGCTTTTGCTCCGTGTGAGCTAGGAAGCACTGGGAAGTTTTGAGCAGGGGAGTGACATGATGAATGGGCTACTCTGGGTACTGACTTGAGAATATGAGAGACAAGGGCTGAAATAGGGAGACCAGTAGGAGACTTGCAGTAGCTCAGGCAACAGATACATCAGGGTTGTGGTAGTGGAGATGGAGATCCTAGATATATTTCGAAGACTGAGCTCACATGAATTCCTGTTGGACTGAATATAAGGTATAAAAGGGATGTCAAAGATGACTTCAAGATTTTGGCCTGAGTGATTGGGAGGTAGAATTACTGTTTACTCAGATGGGAGGAGCAGGCGTATGTATGTCTGTAGGGTGGATGGTGGAGTAAGTGATTGGTTTTGGATCTATTAAGGTTGAGATGCCTATTAGATATCTAATTTGAAGATATCAAGTGAGCATTTGGATATATGCTTCTGAGGTTAGGAGAGAAGTCTGGCCAGATATATGAATCAATGTTTATTCCTGCTAAATCATGTTTAGATACCAAAACTTGAAATACATGCTTAGGATATTGATTTATAAGCCTAATCTTTGTATTTCTAGAATTTGAAAATGGAGGGTTCCTCAAAATATTCATAAAAATGACATTATGAAATACAACTCTCAGAAACAGATTTTCTGGATAAAATAATCAAAGGAGTAAAAATATCCAGTGGCTCTTTTTAAAAACTTATTCATTATGGGAGCCCATCTGTCAGTTTTGTGTATGTGCGTGAGAGGGATGGTTTAAAGGCAGAAGCCACTCCATGGTGAAAAAAAGCCCCATTCACCATGAGTGACCAGATGGCTCTTGCCCAAGTATGGAGAGCAATTGAGAGTCAAGTAAAATAAGCTTATGAGATTATACAGGTTATTCAATGAACAGAAATAAAATTTGAAAATCTTCTTGATTTGTCTTCCTAACAGTATCCCTAATGCCTGGATTGCTGCTTGACACATAGTAGGAACTCAACAAATATTTATTGAAAGAGTAAATGAAAGGCTCTAAATGGTACAAATCAGTAAAGCAAAAATTTCCGTGAAGCTCTTGTAGATTTCTACTTATGAGCAAAAGCTGGTCTAGGGGACACTTCCCATTTTCTTGTTGAATGCAATAACTACTTTCTAATAAAGTTGAAATTATATATTCTACTTTGGCATTCTCCTTTGTCTATGTAATATTTTAGGTTTGGTTGACCTTGGCAGATCATTATTTGCACAGTATAGCCATTGACTGGGACAAAACCATGCGCTTCACTTTCAATGAAAGGAGTAATCCTGATGATGACTCCATGGGAATTCAGATAGTCAAGGTAATGCCCCTGAACTTGGCCTGTCATCCTAATACAGAAGAAAGACTCTAAGAACCAGTTGCTTTTTGGACAGAGGATCGAATGATCTCTACCTTCTGGTTTGAATATCTGCATATTTTCTGCCTTCTCATTTCATTGGCTTTTCCATGGGGAACCTTGACAATGTGTTGTCTGCATAAATTTAAATGTTACCAGTAAGAAGAAAATGTTTGCGAATGAACTTTCACTCATATTCAACTTATTAATCTTCCTCACACTATAGGAAGGACCCTTTATCATGGCTCAATAATGCCGACTGGATTTTTATATAAAAGTCACTGATTGAAAAAGTTAGTTAAGTATATTTCATATGAGAATCATTTGGTTCTTATTAGGGTCTTTCATAGTTTCTTAACTGCCCATTTCTAAAGACAGGTTCAGAGGTGGGGTCTACTTCCAACCAAATACTTGTGGGTTCAAGCCAGCTGTGTAGGCAGTGGCTTGCTTACCTGGATTATTACAGTTGAACAGAGCCTGGTGCTAAAAGCCAAGGATACTGATTCTGTTTGATCCCAGTATTATCCTCTTACATAAGGCTCTAGAACATGGTTTTTGATTTTATATGAGTACATTACAGTGTGATACTAAGCTGGGGTTTTAAAAGGAAAGTTGTTTCATCCAAATTTTGGCCACCTCAAGATGGCTAATGTTTTGGCATATTTGGAGATTTTTTTAAAGGAGGAAGTACTAACTAAAATCAGCTACTTTCTGTTCTAACTTCGTCTGTTTCAGACAAATGCTAAAAAAGTTATGCAATTTTACATTGTGTACTAAAAAGCCTTTGCATTATTCACATTTAAGCTATATATTTGGAATTTTAGAATATGTTTCACAGAGATGAAGTATCTCATATTTGAAATGTTTCCTTTTTGTCTAACTGGTGAATTAAGGCAATGCACTTTTTGTAACAATCATCTTATTAAGAGGATCTTTTGTTTTCTCATTGAAGTGAATCTTATGTCAGTTAATGACTTCAGCTCTTGAAAATTATAGTCCCTGCTTAGTAATTAAATTATAGATATTGCCTTCATTAAAGCATATCAAGTATTTCTGTCTTTCTTATATAAATTCATAAAATAATTTGAATAGAATGATTTTTCTCTCTATAATCACATTTTTTGCTATTTTGATTTCACTCCTTTATGTTATTTAGAGTTTTGATAGCTAAATATTATACTTTATTTGTAGAAAGGAAGAATGTTACCCTCATACGTGTATTGTGATGGCTATTGTTTTATCTGAGAAATATTATTAAAACAAATTATCAATTTATATGAAATTATAATGTAATTATTATTAATTCTGAGCTACTTTTTGTGGTAATCCTGGAAACATTTTAAGTTGAAAATTTGCCTGACTGAAATTCCCCTTGCAAATCTCTCTTAAACAGCATATTACAAAATATTATGAAAAAGAAAGCTAAAAATGCATTTTGGCTCATATGTATAACAACATACACATTTTTGAAAAATAAAATTTATGTTGATAATTTGATTCTGTTTATTGAGTCAAAAAATAAGGTTTATTTTGAAATAATATTAGGAGTTGTGTTTTTGAAAATGTTGTTTCCCTTCCATTTTAGGACCTTCACCGCACAGGGTGTAGTTCTTACTGTGGCCAGGAGGCTGAGCAGGACAGGGTTGTGTTGAAGCGGGTGCTACTGGCCTATGCCCGATGGAACAAAACTGTTGGGTACTGCCAAGGCTTTAACATCCTGGCTGCACTAATTCTGGAAGTGATGGAAGGCAATGAAGGGGACGCCCTGAAAGTGAGTAGCAGGCTCTAACAAAGGCAATGGACATTCTTCTGAGAGTGAGAAATTGGAACTATAATCTCTCTTCCTTGATGTCTCATCCTTTTCCAAGGTGTTTGTCACTCCTTTGTAATGACCTATGATAGCATTTCCTCCAGGTTGGAGTCATGTCAAGTGACAGACTTATGTAGCTGCCAACTGTGAGGCAAATTGTTATGTGTTTAGTATCATTTATAAGACAACATATTTTAAAGCAAGTTAAATATTAATTGTATTGGTTATTCATTACTATTCAACAAATTAGCTGCTTAAAACAGCAAACATGTATTATCTTACAGCTTCTTTGTGTCAGAAATCTAGGCATAGCCTAACTGCCTCAAGGACACATTGCTGTGGCTGTTAAACTGTTGGTTGGCGTTGTGGTCTCATCTAAAGGCTCATTTGGGGGTGGGCATTGGCTTTCAAGTTTGTTTATGTAGTTGTTGGCAAGATTTAATTCCTCAGGCTGTTGGACTGAGGCTCCAGTTCCTTGCTGGCTGTTGACTGGAGGCCTTTTATAGTTCCTTGCCATGTGGGCCTCTCCATCTCCCAACCCAGTGGCTGACACCCCCAAAATGAGCAAGAGAGTAAAAGATAGTGAGCAAGGCAAAAGAATTTAAGTTCCAGATTTGTAGCCAAACATCAGAAGTGACATCCCACTATATTTCCGTGTTCTGTTCTTTAGAAATCAGTCACCAGGTTCAGCTCATAGTCAAGGGGAAGGGCTCATACAAGGGTGTGACTGTATTGTGTTAGAACTGCCTCCCACACCAGTTATGCTTCATTCTGATTGGATTGCTTTATTGGGCTGCTTTACTCTTTCATATTTGGAGCAAGATATGGAGGAGTTGGATTGAGAGTGAGTGTCTATGGAAAGTGTTTGCATGGAGAAGCATTATGGAATTGACTTACATTAATATCTTTTAATCTTTGATGCCTAGGACCTTTATTAGTTAAATTTTAAAAATGTGTTGAGATGGGGCACTAGTGATTTAAGCTCATTGGTTTGCATGTGAGTCAGTGAGTCACCAGAAATAGAGTGCTTATGAGAAACGAAACATTTTAAATGTGGAGGCTAATGCCTATTTGCTTAAGGCAATGTGGGGTTACTAATTCATGTTTGAACCTTTAAACTGCTCTTGACTGCAATGCTTTGTGATGTATGAGATAGATACTTAGTCTTCGTGTTCAGGAACCACCCCTGCCATAACCCTACTCCCAACAACTTGTGTTTGACTATGGTTAATACCTTATTGATGCTGTCAATCACTGATTAATGTGATGTGGAAAAATAAACAAATGTTCCTCTTGGTTTTATACATATCATGGTGGACAAGTTATAAATCCAGCTTGACATGATCTAAATCTGTGTTCAACCTCTCACTTTTTCCATTGATGTATTTAAGGAAGCAGCTTTGAAGTTACTTGTTCATCACAAAGGCACGGGTAGGAGAGGGAGGAAGGCAGTGACAAATACATGACTTTAAGATGTTTTTTATTAAGAAGGAATTTTGTTTACTCAGTCTGTCAGCTTTCATCAGTTTTTTTCCAGATGTAATTGGTATGACTATAAAATGGGAATTTTCTTTAGAGCAATTGGAATAAGTGAATCAAGTTAGGGGTGGGATGGAGACGTCCAAGGAAGGAAGTGTACATCCCAATCAAATTATGAAAGGGCTCAGTAATACTTGAGAAACTAGAAATTAAAAACTCACTTACAAATATGGATTAAAGATGAGAAACTGAATATTTCAGCCCCCACGAAAAAGAGCTCCATGCAATGAGATGATGTGATCATCCTTTAAGAGTGTATAGATCTTGTGTTTAGACATTTAATACGCAGAGGAAGGTTGGCTTCATGAAGAAACACTTCTGATGTCGAGGAAAATATTGTATGTCTGTTTTTCCAGCATAGACTCTACAAGTCATAATTACTAGGGAAATATATAGTTTATTAGAAATAGGTGAACCATTTTTTCCTGCTATTAGCACTTAAGTTTTTACTTAGCAAATCTTTTATTTTTGTTAAAAATTCAGAGCTCTCCCATTATTTAGCCAAATCTTTTTTTTTTGTTTTGGAGACAGAGTCTTGCTCTGTCACCCAGGCTGGAGTGCAGTGGCATGATCTTGGCTCACTGCAACCTCCGCCTTCCAGGTTCAAGCAATTCTCCTGCCTCAGCCTCCCGAGTAGTTGGGATTACAGGTACACGCCACCACACCAAGCGAATTTTTGTGTTTTTAGTAGAAATGGGGTTTCACCATGTTGGCCAGACTGGTCTCAAACTCCTGACCTCAGGTGATCCTCCTGCCTCAGCCTCCCAAAGTGCTGGGGTTGCAGGCGTGAGCCACTGTGCCTGGCTTTTTTTTTTTGGATCTAAGAGTTGACCTTGGAAATACAGTGGTGGGTGCTTTGAGTGAGCTGGCTCTATGTCTTCACATCAGACATTGAGATGCCTTCAGATAGAGAATTTCACTGTCACAGGAATTAGTATGATCATTGAAGATTTTTTTTTTGCTTGTTTTCACGTAATTTTGAGGAATCATAATTTCTCAATAAAAACCAAATATCTTTCTTGGCACTACGTATATTATCCTTAGATGAAAAATACAATAGTTGTCAGTGTATGACCTTTACGTCTGCATTCATGATCCTGTAAATTCCTCTAATTCTGATCCATAGAGTGCTAGGTTCCTGCAAGGGTACTCCGCCATGCTGAAACTTGCTCTCCTCATCAGCTGCTGCCTCCCAGAACCTCCTCTCCCCACAAAGACAGAATTTACTCCTTTTCTTGTTGCTGAGCTCCTATTTCCAAGATGATGTTACATTTACCTGGTAAATTTTATCCTAACATAAGAAGGCTAAGGCCCAGTGGGTCTGGCCACCTTATAACAAAGGAGAAGGTCCTCCTCGAGAGCATGCCCCTGCCCTACTGACTCGTTCAAAACTATGACCCTGAAAAGTAGAAATTATAAGCTGAGGAGGAGGGAAAAATGGGCCCTTGGCAGGGCAGGGAGATTTTTTTTGGGCGGGGGGTGGTGGGTGGAAATAGAGTTTTACAGTATCCTGAATGTCAAAATGTGAGATAGCTACTGTTCTACCAACATAGAGCCCGTTATGTATATAGAGCCAGTTATGATTTTGTTCTTAATTTTGTTTTTCTGGTGCTTTGGGGAAGGAGCTGGTCTTTTAGGGAGTGGGTCAGGTACAGCATGCCAGACCTTTTAAGAATGAAGCCGCCTGAATTAGCACCTGGATACTCTTCAGAGAACTGCAAACAAAGAAAGTGGAGGTAGTGATTCAATGCTATTATAACTCTGAAAATATCTGACTTCTCCAATTCCACTGTACAAATGAACCTAAACATTGAATGGAAATACATGGTTCCCGCTATTTTTGTTGGTAAGAGTTTGGTGGGAAAGAACCAGGGATTGACTTACAGACCTCATGTGTGTTTGGCTGGGTCATTCTAGAGGTTCTTGACATATTAGGAAAGGTAATACAAGTAGAAAAATCAAAATGAAAATAGCAATTTGAAGAACTTCTATAACAACCTTATGAAAGAAATACAGATTTTGAAAAGTACTATTTGTTCAAACAAAGCATAGTTGCATTTTCCCAGGAAGTGGACAAAAAACCAACATGAGTTGCTCTAATAGCCCAGGTCGATGATGAGTAAGTCTTGAGAGCTGCTTCTGTGGGGGTGTTTTATGATAGGCCTGCTCTTAGTTTTCATGTTGAGGTTGTAAAACTGTGCTGACACCAAGGAGCCAATGCTGAGGCTCTGCTGGCTGCTGCACAAGCTTGGGCTTTGTCATTTTTCAGAATGATGCTAAGGGTTGCATAATCACAGCTACTTATGGGCCGAACTCAGGTCTAGCAGCCCATCTAGAAATTTCAGAGAGCAGCAGACTTGAGGTCTGAGTTGCTTAGATGATTATGCCACATGCTCCCTAGCCAGGCTGTAGGAGAGCCTTGTAAATCTGGAACATTTCGTACTGATGCATTTAAGGATAGTGTGCTTTGGCTAACAGCGTTTTATCTATTTGAATACTTATTTTCTCTTTAGGACATGTTGGGATCCCAGTTTTTACAAAGCAGTCTTAAGCTTTATCTTTTTTTCTTTAGATTATGATTTACCTTATTGATAAGGTACTTCCCGAAAGCTATTTTGTCAATAATCTCCGGGCATTGTCTGTGGATATGGCTGTCTTCAGAGACCTTTTAAGAATGAAGCTGCCGGAATTATCTCAGCACCTGGATACTCTTCAGCGAACTGCAAACAAAGAAAGTGGAGGTAGGATTCAATGCTCTTGTAACTGAAAATATTTGTCTTCTCTGATTCCACTGTACAAATGAGTCTAAACATTGAATGGAAATATATATTTCCAGGTATTATAAGAGCTTGGTGTAATGAAACAGATTTTTAGAGAATGAAAACAAAACTGAAAATAACAAAAGGCCACATGTTGAACCTCTAACTGGTCATAGTTAGGAAGTCAGTCAAGAGCCTAATACTAGTACCAGATCAACAACTGAAATGATGTACTCTGGATGGAGTACCACGTACACATCTTACTATCTAGTTAAACTGCTCTAAGCTGGCACCAAACTTGCAGGAGTCTTTAAAACTGAGCTACAGGTACAATTTAGTACAAACTGGTTTTACCTGAACCATTGAGATTATGAAAGAGTAGCTAAGAGCCACTGCTATCTAGTGGGCATGATCCAGTTTTTGGAAGTATCTGAGCTCATAGCTGTCATTATACGCACTGCTTATACTTCCCTGGCTGTGTGTACAGAATAGTCAGGAGTTTGTTGTGTTTCCTCCAAGCCAGTGGTCCCCAACCTTTTTGGCACCAGGGACCGGTTTCAGGGAAGACAGTTTTTCCACAGACCAGGGCTTGGGGGATGGTTTCAGGATAATTCAAGCACATTACATTTATTGTGTACTTTATATATATTATTATTACATTGTAATACATAATGAAATAATTACACAACTCACTGTAATGTGGGATCAGTGGGAGCCCTGAGCTTGTTTTCTTGCAACTAGATGGTCCCACCTGGGGGTAATGGGAGACAGTGATGGATCATCAGGCATTAGATTCTCATAAGGAGCATGAAACCTGGATCCCTCACATGCACAGTTCACAACAGGCCTTGTGTTCCTATGAGAATCTAATGGTGCTGCTGATCTGACAGGAGGCAGAGCTGAGGTGGTGAGCAATGGGGAGTGGCTGTAAATACAGATGAAGTTTTGCTTGCTGCTCACCTCCTGCTGTGTGACCTGGTTCCTAGCAGGCCACAGACCCAGAGATACCTGAGTATCTCTAGGCATTTCCTTCTAAGCCATTTGAATAATCTCATTTAACTTGGCTCTGCAGTATAACTGTGTGGATTTTATAATGCTTCCGGATAGGCCAATCTTCCCTGTCCCCTAGTCAAGACTCACTTTAGTGAGCTACATGTTTTTACCCAAGTGCCTTGCACTTGGCTGTGAGGAACAACCTCAGATTCTAGTCTGTGAACAAAGATACTCCCATTGTTCATAGGTAAGGAGGAAGAAAATGAATATAGGAAAACAGACATCTTTTTGTTTACACTTAGGTAATTGTACATATTGGCTATAATTTGGAGGGAGGATCGCTCTACATATTTGAATTTTTTTTTTTTTTTTTTTTTTTTTTTTTTGAGACAGAGTCTTGCTCTGTCACCCAGGCTGGAGTATAGTGGCCGGATCTCAGCTCACTGCAAGCTCCGCCTCCTGGGTTCACGCCATTCTCCTGCCTCAGCCTCCCGAGTAGCTGGGACTACAGGCGCCCGCCACCTCGCCCGGCTAGTTTTTTGTATTTTTAGTAGAGACGGGGTTTCACCATGTTAGCCAGGATGGTCTCGATCTCCTGACCTCGTGATCCGCCCGTCTCGGCCTCCCAAAGTGCTGGGATTACAGGCTTGAGCCACCGCGCCCGGCCTTTGAATTTTTATATCACATAAAAATACATACTGATCACATAAAGAAAGAGAGAGTACTATGTTTTTAATAAATTCAGAAATTTCAAAATTGGCTGGACCCCAGATCTTTAGTTGGAAATACTTTTAAATGTAATGTTTATTCTCTATTTTGGGATTTGCCAACTATCTTTCTGTTAATGATTTCTAGTTTAACTCCACTGTGGTCTGAGAACTATGTATAACTTAAGAAGTTGATAGATAATTTATAGTGAGCAATTTTATTCTTATCAAAGCAGCATTTGAATGTAAGTGGGCATTATATGATTTCGAAAATCTGATGGCTTTTGCTTTTGAGAGACTGAAATCCTTTCTTTTTCTTCTATTTTTGGTGAGGAAAACTTTTTCCTTAATTTTCAGCTCACTACAATAGGCAGAGCCAAAGTAAGTTTTAGATTAAGATTTCTGAAGTATTGTAAATATTTTGTGAAGTTCATATTTATAAAGCATACCTGTATTTTTCCAGAAACATGGCAGGAAAAATAGGAAGAAAGAACAAGAGTTTAGAAATATGAGGAAATCAGTCAGGAGATACAACACATCTGAGTGGACATGGAAGACTAGAAAAGGGTATCTGCATATGTGGCCAGTCATCAGTTCTGAAGGAATTGAATGTGTTTGTTTTGTTTCAGGTGGATATGAGCCCCCACTTACAAATGTCTTCACGATGCAGTGGTTTCTGACTCTCTTTGCCACGTGCCTCCCTAATCAGACCGTTTTAAAGATCTGGGATTCAGTCTTCTTTGAAGGTTCAGAAATCATCCTAAGGGTGTCGCTGGCCATCTGGGCAAAATTAGGAGAGTAAGTGAGTTCCACATTCTGCTCTGTTCTGTGATGTTGAGGGTCTTCAGCAGTTTTTGTGCTCTAATATGTAAAGCATCGATATTTAAGTGAAAACAGAAAGTTGTGAACTTTTAAAATTGCTTTAGCCTCCTGAAATCTCAGCAGGCTCATTGCTGGCACATGCAGTCTATTTTGGAGAAGGGGGCAGACTCCTTTAGGCCTTCAGATTCTCCCGCTCCTCCTCAAGCGCTTGTGTCCTGGCTGGTTCACTCCTTGTCAGCATCTCTGTGGACACTAGTTGGGAAGAGGGAAAGGAACTTAGGTGGCAGAGAAACTGAAAGATGTGGTTAGGAGTAGGTGAATTTGTTAGTTAATATTACAATTTGGATTATTGATGAATCTTTATTTTGTTCTGCCTTTCAGGGCTGTGATAAAATTAAATGAGATAACAAGGTATCTAGCCTGGTAGAACACATAGAACTTCTTTCCTTTCATTAAGAATTAATACTCTGTTGGAATCTGTCACTGCCAAAACATATTACCAAATAGATTTTGCTTATATTCTTTACTGGTAGCAGGGCTGAAAAAGATAGGGTGTTTTTCATTCATCTTTGATATATTATGACTACTACATAAATTTCGTACCTTCTGGGTAACGGAAGAAGCATTAAGTGGTGAAGTTTTTACCATTTCTCTTCTGGAGCTATAAATGACGAGCGGGTTCCCATAGACAATATGTCACAAAACTAGTAAATCACTGGCACAGTTTTGTTTCGAAAACCTTTTAACTAGCCTTTGTATTTATGGTAAGTTGTTTCCTGGGAGACTTCTGGCATTTTTAACAATTTTGCAAAGAAAGATCCACCAACTATCAATTCAGGGACTTAAAAAATTATTCTTGTGTGTATTTTTAAACATCACCTAGCTATCTCCTTTGCCTTGGTTTTGTTGTACATTGCTTTTCAGCTGGGTAAATAAATTCATCTGTATGGGATTTGGTGTTCTATTTACTTATCTCTCATTACCTCCCAGTAACTACCTCTTGCTGCAGCCATGTATTTCCAACTTACTGTATACATTGTAAACCCTTTGAGCTTTGATAGTTTCTTTGGGTGTGATAGTCCAGTTGCTGCATGGCTGGTTTATAACATTAAAATAGTAAAGCGCTTTACTGTATGATGAGCCAGTTATAATTGCCTTTGTGTTGGTTCTTCATGAGCGAGCAGGAAGAAAAGAGGTGATCCTGGTTTTACTCCTCTCTATCCATTAATCTGTAGAATCAGAATTTATTCCTATGATCATTCCAGGGATGTCACACTGTTGAAATAATAATAGCTGCAACAAAAGCCAATATTCATTGAGTGCTTGCAATGAACAGGAACTGTTCTAACTACTCTGGATGTATAAACTCATGTATTCTTCATCATCCTGTAAAGTACGCACTGTTGTCATCTCCATTTTATAGATGTGAGAATTGAGGCACAGAGAAGTTCAGTTAATTGTCTAAAGTCACCCAATTACTAAGTGGAATGGGCTGAATTTGAGCCCAGGCTTTCCTGGCTCTAGAGTCTGTGCTTTTAATAATGTGAATCGGCCGGGCGCGGTGGCTCAAGCCTGTAATCCCAGCACTTTGGGAGGCCGAGACGGGCGGATCACGAGGTCAGGAGATGGAGACCATCCTGGCTAGCACGGTGAAACCCCGTCTCTACTAAAAAATACAAAAAAACTAGCCGGGCGAGGTGGCGGGCGCCTGTAGTCCCAGCTACTCGGGAGGCTGAGGCAGGAGAATGGCGTGAACCCGGGAGGCGGAGCTTGCAGTGAGCTGAGATCCGGCCACTGCACTCCAGCCTGGGCGACAGAGCGAGACTCCGTCTCAAAAAAAAAAAAAAAAAAGTGTGAATCTACTGATAATAAATGGCTAGTCTTTTTGAAGTTTAGGGGTATATGAATCAGAATGATAGAATTTTAACTCTGTCAGTTTTTGCTTATTACAATTCTGTATGTTTTGAGCATGCAGCTTGTTAAGGGAAAGGAAAGGCCATTGACATACATCCTAAATGTCTGCAGTGCCTGCCATTGTGTTAGGCAGTTTAAACACATAATCTCATTCAGTTCTCCCAATAACCCTGTGAAGTAGGTAGGGTTGTTCTCTCTGTCTTTTCCACAAGAAAATTTCCCCAGGAAGGTTAATTAGCTGTTTCATAGTCACACAGCCAGTGAATAGCAGAACTGGGACTTAAATTTGGATCTTTCTGATTCTAGTGCCTATAATCTTCCCCACAAACTTCCTGTTGGAAAAACCATAAAAGCATATAGGTAATCTCCAGTTTATGTACACCTGAGTAACATGTGCCTTATATATGGTTATCTAGGACCTCTCCTTTCACCTGGCTTCTGCAACTTGGAATTTCTACCTTTCACTTCACCAAGGGTACTCTGGAATATGTAAATTGTAGACCATTAGCACACTATCACTAGCATCTCTTTATGTGTCCTTTCTCCTCTGCCCCTGCTGCTGTTTTGGTTTCCTCCCTCATCACCCATGCCTGGCCCACTGTGGTATGTCCTCCTTGGTTTCCCCATGGTAACCCACATTTGCCGTGCCACCTCCAGGCAGACCTTGCCAAGGGCACAGCTGTTCCCTCACTCCCTACTTAAAGCCTTTTCATGACTCATGCTCTGTAGAGGCTCAGCTGCCAGGTGAGGCCTTTGCTCTCTGCTCTCAGTAGCTCTCTTCCCTCAGCTCTCACTGGCTTCCTCTGGTCCTGCAACCACTTCCCCCATCCTGGTCTCACTGGTTGTGTGGAGCTACTTGCAGTTCCCCAGATGAGGCCTGCTGTCTCCTGCATCTGTGTCTTTGGAATGCTTATTCTTCCTTGTCAACCTGAAAAACAATTTCATCTCAACATTATTTCTCTTCCTTACCTCCCGGGGTAAATTTAAGCACCTTTCATTCATGCCCACAGGCTGCTCTACACTTTTATAGTAATACTTCAGCAGTTTATTCCATTCATTTATTTACATGATTGTGGCAATGGGATTAGAACAACACTCCAGAACTATGGTTTTCCCGTAATCATATTATTTTGGATGGCTTTACAGAAATCCCCCAGCATTAGTGTATATCTTCTGGTTAGTGGGAAACTAGAGTTATCCTACAATACAAAGAATGTTGTCATATAAAATGGAAATACCTAGGCTGGGTGCTGTGGCTCATGCCTGTAATCCCAGCACTTTGAGAGGCCAAGGCAGGTGGATCACTTGAGGCCAGGAGTTTGAGACCAGCCTGGCCAACATGGTGAAGCCCCATCTCTACTAAAAATACAAAAAATCAGCAGGGCATTGTGGTGGACGCCTGTAGTCTCAACTACTCGGGAGGCTGAGGCAGGAAGATTGATTGAACCCAACAGGTGGAGGTTGCAGTAGGCTAAGATCACACCACTGTGCTCCAGCCTGGGCGACAGAGGGAGACTTTGTTACAATAAATAAATAAATTGGAAATACCTGGTACTCTTTGCTTTGGGCTCTTCTGTTTTCCCCTTTCTAGAAGAAAGATTGAAGTCCAACCTGGCTCACAGGTAGCCAAGTGAGTGTCAGATTCTTTATTTACATGTAGAACTGAATGCAGGAAAAGGTGTAATCTCCAACTAGCAGCAGCACCCCGAGAAGAACTCAGAAAATTCTGCCTGTGAAAACTCCCCATGGACTGATGAAATATGCAGATGCAGTTCTTGTAATTTTCATCTTTTATTCCTACTGTGGTTTGGTTTTAAATCTATTATATTAATGATATCACTGTTTGCAGATTAAGACCAATAGACTCCCTCAAAGGAGATAATTGTTCTTTAGTACCCAATTTCATGGTTATGATTTCTAACCAGTGGTGGGAATTCTGATGTGTCGATTGTGTCCCGTGGAAACAATAAAGATGCCACAGCTGGGATTGTGAGGCTGGGGGAGTCAAGTAGGAATGACAGGACTTATCCAAAACGAGTACCTTAAAGTTGCTTTTAGTATTTTTAAATGTTTCACCCACAGTGGGCTTTAGGAATATCAGGATTTTGATATTCATTGATTGATAACTTGAGTTATTTGATGGCAAAAGGCCACTGCCCCCCCTTTTTTTGAGACAGGGTCTCACTCTGTCACCCAGGCTGGGTTGCAGTGGTGCTATCATGGCTCACTGCAGCCTTGGCCTCCCAGGCTCAGGTGATCCTCCTGCTTTAGCCTTCTGAGTAGCTGGGACCACAGATGTGCACCACGATACTCAGCTGATTTTTTAAATTATTTGGAGAGATCGAGTCTTGCTGCGTTGAGGCTCCTGGCCTCAAGCAATCCCCCTGCCCCAGCCTCCCAAAGTGCTGGGATTATAGGCATGAGCCACCATGCCCAGCCCAATATATCTTATACCTGCAGCATGCACTGTTACACAGCATGGATGCCCTAAACAAGTTCTATTTTCTGTCCTTTCTTTATCTAGGCAGATAGAATGTTGTGAAACAGCAGATGAATTCTACAGCACCATGGGGCGCCTTACCCAGGAGATGCTAGAGAATGATCTTCTGCAAAGCCATGAACTCATGCAGGTGAGTGGGCAACATGGAGCAGCCTGGCTCAGGGAACCCCAGGCACGGTGGGAACAACCAGTGCCAGAGCAGCGGTCTTGAGAAATGTGCTTGGTTAGCTGTCAGACTTAGTTTCTTAAATTGACCAAGAGTCTGTTCATAATTTGATAAGAATGTATGTCATAAAAGGAAGTAAGAAATGAATGATGGATATTTGTTGTATCTTTCCTTCAGACTGTGTTGCTTAGAAATCATTAGCAGCAATATAAAGATAAACTGGAAAAATACACTGGAAAAACAAAATCACCAAGTGCTTATTCTGAATTTTATTCTTAGCCTTTCTTTCCTTTTTTGAGACTGTCTCATTCTATCACCCCAGCTGGAGTGCAGTGGCACAATTGTTGCTCACTGTAGCCTCTGTCTCCTGGGCTTAAGCGATCCTCCTATCTCAGTCTCCTGAGTAACTGGGACTATGGGCTTATGCAGCCATACAGCTAATTTTTTATTTTTATTTTTGTATAGATGGAGTCTTGCTATGTTGCCTAGGCTAGTCCTGAACTCCTAGACTCAAGTGATCCTCCCATCGCGGCCTTCCTAAGTGCTGGGATTACAGGCATGAACCATTGTGCCCAGCCTACTTAGACTTGTGGGGGAAAACAGTTAGTGTGGGGAAGAAATTATTGAGGATAAAAAAGATTATTCTCATCAGCATTTTGATTCATTTGTTTTACCCATATTTTCAACTCAGGTAACTATCTATTAATCATAAATTTTAAAGTGAAAGACTTGAAGGGTTTGGTTATTTTTTTATGGCATATTACTGTACCTCAATATCATATTCATCAAGTCTTTGAAATTGACAGCAAGTATAGAAAAAATAGCTGACTTATTAACACTCAGTCTTCCATTAGATTCTTTTTTTAATTTTTGTGGGCACATAGTAGGTGCATATATTTATGGGGTACATGAGACACTCTGATATAGGCATGCAATGCATAATAATCATATCATGGTAAATGGGGTATTCATCTCCCCAAGTATTTATCCTTTGTGTTAGAAACAATCCAATTATACTTTTAAAGTTATTTCTAAATGTGCAATTAAATTACTATTGACTCTAGTCGTCCTGTTGTGCTATCAAATACTAGGTCTTATTCATTTTTTCTAACTACTTTTTGTACCCAGTATCTCTACTTCCCTATCAACTACTCTTCCCAGCCTCTGGAAACCATCCTGCTACTGTCTATCTCCATCATTTCAATTGTTTTAATTTTCAGCTCCCACAAATAAGTGCAGACTTTCAAAGTTTGTCTTTCCGTGCCTGGCTTATTTCACTTAACATAATGATCTCCATTTCCATCCATGTTGTTGCAAATGACAGAATCTCATTCTTTTTTTATGGCTGAATAGTACTCCATATTGTATATATACCACATTTTCTTTATCCCTTCATTGGTTGATGGACACTTAGGTTGCTTCCAAATCTTGGCTATTGTGAACAGTGCTGCGAGAAACACGGGAGTGCAGATACCGTTTTGATATACTGATTTCCTTTCTTTTGGGTGTGTAACCAGCAGGCAATTTTTGGATCATATGGTAGCTCCAATTTTAGTTTTTTTTTGAGGAACCTCCAACCTGTTCTCCATAGCGATTGTACTAATTTACATTCCCACCAACAGTGTACAAGGGTTCCCTTTTCTCCACATCCTTGCCAACATTTGTTACTGCCTGTCTTGATTAAAAGCCATTTTAACTGGGGTGAGATAATATTTCATTGTCATTCTGATTTGCATTCTGATGATCAGTGATTTTGAGCATCTTTTCTTTGGTGTTGTCGGGTTTTTTTTTTTTTTTTGGAGGCAGAGTGTCACTCTGTCCCCAGGTTGGAGTACAGCGGCACCGTCTCAGCTCACCGAATCGCGGTTCAATAATCACTCCTGGGAGCCGGGCGCGGTGGCTCACGCCTGTAATCCCAGCACTTTGGGAGGCCGATGTGGGCGGATCACGAGGTCAGGAGATCCAGACCATCCTGACTAACACAGTGAAACCCCATCTCTACTAAAAGTACAAAAAATTAGCAGGGCGTGGTTGTGGGCGCCTGTAGTGCCAGCTACTCGGGAGGCTGAGGCAGGAGAATGGCGTGAACCCGGGAGGCGGAGCTTGCAGTGAGCTGAGATCGCACCACTGCACTCCAGCCTGGGCGACAGAGCGAGACTCCGTCTCAAAAAAAAAAAAAAAAAAAAAAAATTGCTCCTGAGTTCAAGCGATTTTCGTGCCTCAGCCTCCCAAGTAGCTGGAACTACAGGTGTTCGCCACCACGCCAGGCTAATTTTTGTATTTTTAGTAGAGATGGGGTTTCTTTTGTTTGTTTGTTTGTTTGTTTTGAGATGGAGTCTCGCTGTGTCGCCGAGACTGGAGTGCAGTGGCCGGATCTCAGCTCACTGCAAGCTCCGCCTCCCGGGTTTACGCCATTCTCCTGCCTCAGCCTCCCGAGTAGCTGGGACTACAGACGCCCGCCACCTCGCCCGGCTATTTTTTTTTGTATTTTTTACTAGAGACGGGGTTTCACCGGGTTAGCCAGGATGGTCTTGATCTCCTGACCTCGTGATCCGCCCGTCTCGGCCTGAGATGGGGTTTCACCATGTTGGCCGGGCTAGTCTCAAACTCTTGACATCAAGTGATCCTCCTGCCGAGCTTGGCCTCCCAAAATGCTAGGATTATAGGCGTGAGCCATGGCGCCTGGCCTAGAGCACTTTTCATAAGCCTGTTTGTCATTTGTATATCTTCTTTTGAGAAATGGCTATTCAGATCTTTTGCTCATTTTTAATCAAATTATAAGATTATAAGAGTTATTTGAACTCCTTGTATATTCTGGTTATTAATCCCTTTTCCGATGAGTAGTTTACAAATATTTTCTTCCACTCTCTGAGTTGTCTCTTCATGTTGTTGATTGTTTTCTTTGCTGTGCAGGAGCTTTTTAACTTGATATGATCCCATTTGTCCATTTTGCTTTGGGTGTTTGTGCTCATGGGATATTACTCAAGAAATTTTTGCCCACTACAATGTTTTGGAGAGTTTTTCCAATGTTTTATTGTATTAGTTTCAAGTTGGAGGTCTTAGATTTGAGTTTTTAATCCATTTTGATTTGATTTTTGTATATGGCAAGAGATAGGGGTCTAGTTTTGTTCTTCTGTGTATGGATATCTCGTCTTCCTGGCACTATTTATTGAAGAGATTGTCTTTTCCCCAATGTGTGTTCTTGGCATCTTTGCCGATAATGAGTTCACTGTAGGTATGTGGATTTGTTTCTGGGTTCTCTGTTCTGTTCCATAGGTCTGTGTGTCTGTTTTTATGCCAGTACCATGCTGTCTGGGTTACTATAATAGTAGTATAATTTGAAGTCAAATAACGTGATTCCTTCAGTTTTGTTCTTTTTGCTCAGAATCGCTTTGACTATTCTGGGTCTTTTGTGGTTCCATATAAATTTTAGGATCGCTTTTCTGTTTCTGTAAAGAATATCGTTGGTATTTTGATAGATATTTTATCAAATCTGTAGATTGCCTTAGGTAGTATGGACATTTTAACAATACTGATTCTTGCAATCCATGAACGTGTTGTATCTTCACATTTTTTGGTGTCCTCTTTGATTTCTTTCATTAGTGTTTTATGGTTGTCATTGTAGAGCTCTTTCATTTCTTTGGTTAACTTAATTCCTAGGTAGTTAATTTTGTTTGTTGCTAATATAAATGGGATTTTAAAATTTCTTTTTCAGATTGTTCACTGTTTGCATATAGAGATGCTACTGATTTTTCTTTACTGGGAGACTTTTTATTATGGCTTCCATCTTGTTACTTGTTATTGGTATGTTCAGGTTTTGGAGTCCTTCATTGTTCAATCTTGGTAGGTTGTATGTCTAGGAATTTATCCATTTTCTCTAGATTTTCTGATTTATTGGTATACAGTTGCTCATAGCAGTCACTAATGATCCTTTGATTTTCTGTGGTATTAGTTTTAATGTCTCCTTTTTCATCTCTGAGTTTGTTTATTTGGATCTTCTTTTTTTCTCAGTCTAGCTACAGGTGTGTCAATTTTATTTATCTTTTTAAAAAAACCAACTTTTCATTCTTTAATCTTTTGTATTGTTTTTTCATTCAGTTTTATTTATTTCTGCTCCGATCTTTATTGTTTCTTCTACTAATTTTGGGTTTGGTTTGCTCTTGTTTTCTAGTGCTTTACTATATATCATTACATTATTTATTTGATGTTTTTCTTCTTTTTCGATGTAGACATTTATAACTATAAATTTCCCTCTTAGTACTGCTTTCACTCTGACCCCATAGGTTTTAGTATGTTGTATTTTCATTATCATTTGTTTCAAAAACATTTTCAGTTTCCTTTTTAGTTTCTTCATTGACCCACTGGTCACTCAGTAGCATACTGTTTAATTTTTATGTGTTTGTATAGTTTGCAAAATTCCTCTTGTTATTGATTTGTAGTTTTACTCCATTGTGGTCAGAGAAGATCCTTGATGTTATTTCAATTTTTTGAATATTTTAAGACTTGTTTTGTGACCTAACATATGATCTATTCTTGAGAATGATCCATGTGCTGAAGAGAAAAATGTGTATTCTCCAGGTGTTGGATGAAACGTTCTGTAAACATCTACTAGGTCCATTTGTTCTATAGTACAGATTAAGTTTGATGATTTTTTTTTTGTTGATTTTCTGTCTGGGTGATCTGTCCAATGCTGAAAATAGGGTGTTGAAATCTCTAGCCATTACTGTGCTTGGGTCTATCTCTGTCTTTAGCTCTAATAATATTTGCTTTATTATCTGGGTCCTCCAGTGTTGGGTGCATATATATTTGTAATCATTATATCCTCTTGCTGAATTGACCGCCTTTATCATTACATAATGACCTTCTTCGTGTCTTCTTATTTTTGTTTTGAAATCTATTTTTTTCTGATAGAAGTACAGCTACTCCTGCTCCTTTTTTGCTTTCCATTGGCGTGGAATAACTTT